AGGCTCAGAGCAGTGAATGAACTTGCAAGTAAATGACTGAACTGGAATTTGGAGCCAAAGCCTAAGCTTTAATCTGCTTTATTCAATGGCTTTTGGTTGTCTCATATTCACCATTGTCTATGTGATTGGTACCCTCAGAGTGGTGCAGGGCACCTCATGCAGCCCTGGCTGCCAAGATGAAGGCAAGGGGCTGTCTGTGACAAACATCGTCAAAAAAGATGTGCTTGACAAATGTTTGGTCCTCAATACCTAGTTATCAAATTTTTAAAAGTGAGCTTGGCCTTTTGCTGATTCAAGCACTCACCTAAGAGTTTACAGTCGGAAACAAAGACGTCTATGCTAGAGAGAAGCAAAAACACACAATCCCGGTGAGAAACAATATCCTTCACACTGGCTGAGCTCACCAGCCCATCATTGCTGCCATTGCAGGGAGCTCATGATCCTGCATTTTAAATGAAGGGGAAGGTACAAAAATCATGAGACTTCCTCTTAGTCAGGAGAGGCTTTGTGGAGGAGGCGTGCTTCTCAGAAGGCAGTGGGAGTGGAAACTGTGGGTGCCAATGAAGCTAGAAAACTCTTTCCATGCAGAAAGTGGAGCAGAAGCTCATGGTTACATAAACACAGTGGGAAGTAATATGGTGATTATAATCTGGCATTTATAAAAGAAGAATCGTACCCTGGCACAGTGGCATGCACCTGTAGTCCCAGTTACTTGGGAGGCCAAGGCAGGAAGATTTCTTGGACCCAAGAGTTCAAGGCCAGCTTGGGCAACATAGTGAGACCTTGTTTCTAAAAAAAAAAAAAAAAAAAAAAAAGATAAAGATTTCTTTATATTCTTTATAAAAAGGAGGCCTCTCCTTTTTAAGAGGAAGAACAAAGGAGAGTCCCTTTGCTATTCCTCAAATGACCTCTTCATTCCACTCTGCACAAGAAAACCTCTCTTTTATTTTTGTCCACTTATTATTTAAGCCAGAGGTTTCTGAATGCTCTTCGTTAAAGGTCCACTCTGTGTCTTAGTAAGCTTTCCAGTGTCTTAAGCCAAAAGAAATATCTCACAGTGGTATTAAGTAGTCAGTTTCGTACAACTTCATAAACATTTATGTGCTAACAAATTAGTAGATGCTAAAAATATCACATACACATTTAAAAAATATTTAATTCCTAAATAACTACACTTACAAATCAGACGTGTGTACCTTTTGTGTATATACAACTTCTCAAATCTTGGAATCAGATTGGGTTGCCCTATTCCACGATGACTTTTACTAAACTGAGAGTATCATACTACATGAGCTACTCCAAATACATGGAAACAACAGGGATGGAAAAAAATTGTCCTGCCTGAACATCGGGAGGCAGGTGGTTGCAGGCATAGGTTCAGCACGTCAATCATGCCAAGATGATTCTCTTGACTTTTTCCTTTCATTTTCAAGATGACTGTTATACTCCCAAATATCAAGTGCATATACAAGGCAGGAAGGGGGGCAGGGAAGGTAGTGCAAGCCTTATGTGATCTCTTTTAATGAGAAAGAAAAAAGTTTTTCAGACACCACCCTCCATCCAAACAGATACCCAGTTACAGTCAGGCACTACATAAAAATGTTTCAGTCAGCCATGAACCACATATACAACAATGGTCCCATAACATTATAATACTGTATTTGTTCTGTACTTTCTCTATACGTAGATACACAAATATGATACTTACCATGGTGTTAATTGCCTGCAGTATTCAGTACAGCAACATGTTTTTCAGATTTGTAGCCTAGGAACAATAAGATGTAGCATATAACCTAGGTGTGTGGTGGGCTATAACATCTATGTCTGTGTAAGTTCACTTTATGATGTTTGCACAGTGAGGCATTTCTCAGAATGTGTCCCTGTTGTTAAGCGATGCATGAATGTATACCTCATGGGCCAGGAACTATGTTATATGTCAATTCTTGGCTTCAAGGAAGGCTGAGCTAGTGAACATTTAGCTGGGTAAAAAGTGCTCCAAGTCAGAGTTCAGTAGTAAGGAAGGAGCAGGTGGATACTGGGAAAATAAACAGTGTATGCTATAGAGTCATGTTTACTTGCACAAGGATAAATAAGACACTATTAATTCCTTACCTCAGTAGCCCCAAGTCTAGCCAGAAGACAATTAAGAACTTCTTGGAAAAATAATTACTATGCGATGGAATAAACGGACATATATTGTTATGGGAAGGTACTTAATTTGCTTGGGAGTGGGTGCAATCAGAGAGAGAGTTCTAGGAAGGAACGGACCACATTGCATTCTGGCAGAGGAACAGCTAGCACAGAGGTTCAGAGATGTGAAGATGTGCTATTCAAACAGTTGAACAGCATGTGAGCCGGTGTCTAGAGCACAGGGTGGGTAGTATGAGAATGGGGATGGCAGGAAATGATACCAAACATGTCAAGTCAGCTAGGGCTCTATGTGCCCACTAGCTTTTTGGGGAATAGCACAGGAAGAGCAGTGGACATCAGCTATTTTTTTTGCCCTTTGGCCCTCCATCTCTTTTTTCGGAGAATTGTTCTTTCACACTCTACAAGACTGACAATCACATGGCCCAACTTTCCATTTTCTGTGTGTGGACCCCTGACTCATGCAGAACTAAACTGAGTCCTGTACAGAAATTGATATGGATACTGAAAAAGAGACCCTGTCCTAAGAAGGACATCAACCTGGAGCTTCCTGTGGCTGTATTTTCCTCCTTCAGAGACAGCTTGCCTGAAAAAAGAAAGAAAAGGGAGGTGGGTTGGGGAAGAGAGAGTAGAGAAAATAACTAGTGAAATAATTCTAACATCCTGGATCCACCTTACCTGAAATTATCTTTACTCCTTAAGCTAGTAACATTTCTGGTTTTAGTTACACTAGTTGAAGTTGGCTTCCTAATAGTCACATTTGGAAGAGTCTTGGCAGAGGGGATAGAACCTAGCAGCAGGATGACCAATCAGTAGCTCTTACAGCATTCTCATCTTCTACCTGGCTATGGGCTGGGCCTTCCCTGGCTGCTGGGGAGAGGAAGGAGACCAGTTTTCCATTGTACCCACCTCAATCTTCATGCACAGTCTCTGAGAGAGGTGCTGGTTCTCACCCAGCTGGCTGGATGGTACCCACTTCCTGTCCTGCAATTGTCGGCTGCCTTCCCAGTCTGTTATCTGACTCCACTATCAGCCAGAGGCATCCAGGAACACATTGGACTTCTAGGAAAAATTATGTTTTACAAGAGCAAACACATGTGGCCAGAGCTGATGGTAACCCTAGCTACACAATGAAGCCCTGGACGATATTCATGGCCTCTGGTATTCAGGAGTCTGACATGAGCTCCAGAAGTCAAGATAACCAGCATTTCTGAGCTGATAAGTCAAATCCTTGGAGACTATAGGGCTGACAGAGTCTCTGCTTTGAAAGAGAATCATTTCCAGGTGTTAGTGCTTCTTACATCTCAGTCCAGTCACTTACTCACTGTGTGAGTCCGGGGAAATTACTTACCTCTCTGAGATTCCAACTCTCAATTTTAAATAAGCATGATCACAGTGATCACTACCATGTATTGAGTGCTTACAATATACCAGGCATGCTAAGTGCTGTACATGTAGTCACCTTTCTCTCAGGGGATATACCTGAAGGGAGTGTGGCCAATACAGTGGCTGGCATATTGTGAAACTTTAATCTGGGTTTGCTATTGTTATTATTACTCCTGGTACCATGGAGAGCATCAATTTCAATCCAGTCCTTTAATGGGTGAGAAAACTCATACCAAGAAGCAGTGAATGACTTGCCTAAACTCAGGCAGCATAATCAGTGACAGAGCAAGATCCAGAATCCAAGTCTCATTCAAATTAAGGGACATACACAAAGCAGCAGAGATTATAAGGTATCTACAAATTTTTTAACTTAGGATATGCATAACTTCTATGAAGAAAACTTTAACATTCTAATGGAAAACAAAAATGATCTGAATAAATGGAAATATTCCATGTTCTTGAATGGGCAACCTTATATTTTAATAGTAATAGCTATTCTCATGTTAATCTATAAATTAAAGGCTGTCAGATCCCAATTGGGCTTTTTGAAGAACTTGAAACATGTATTCCAAAATATTGGAGGGAGAGAGAGCTATAATAAGTAAGTCAAGTTTAGAAAAGAAGAGAGAATTGCCTTACTTCTCATTGAGAAGAATTATAAGCTGGTAGTAATGAAGAATAGTTTGATATTGGTACCGAAGCAGAAAAATAGATTCATGAAAGAGAGTAGAGAGGCAAGTGTCAGACACTTAGAAACATGGAGCCTAATATATGGCATAAGAGGACTTTGCAATTTTATGAGGAAAGCCAGATTGTTTAGAGATGGAGTAGGGGAAAGTGATTCACTATGTGGAGAAAATTAGAACAGTATTCCAATTTAAGGAGACTCCAGATGAATTAAAGATCTAAATATGAAAGATGAAACATCAAGTTATTAGGGAAAAGAATCTTTGCAACCTAGGACGAGGAAGAGTTTGTGAACAAAAGTATGAACTTCTGTTTAACGTAGGGCGTTATAGACAAAGTTAATAGGTAGCTGATAGGCAAGATAAAGATTTTTTTGATACGTAAAATGAAAAAGCCCTATGTGATATCCTTATGATTCTACCATAAGGAAACAGAAGTTCCTACAGAAAAATAACTTCTTATGAACAACTACACAAGAAATATAAAAGTTTATAGAGAAGTAAAGAAATACTCAAAATCATTAATAGTTGATAGATGAAAATTAAAGTAATAAGGTATCACTTTAAACTGAATAGACTGGAAAAATTAGAAAGCTGTGTAATGCAAGTGTTGATTGGGTAGGAACCCACATGCACAGATACTGATATACACTGATGAGAGTGCAAACTGATACAACATTCTAAAGAAAATATGGATTATTTTTTACTCCAAGATTCATAGGTGACATGTGATTTATAATTATGCCAAATGAAAAGAGCACCCTATTTTTCCCCTTTGTGTTACAGGTTTCTATTGTACAATTTCTCATTAAAAACTTCCTCAGCATTTTTGGAGAAGACATCACTTCCCCCTTGGGGAAGAAAGAACTCAATGATTTGTAGAAATGTTACCAGGGGAGTACTCAGATGGTAGGTTCTTGGCCTCTCTGACCTGGAAGAATGGGAAAGGGGCCCCAGAGGCGCTGTGAGTTTGCCATTTGAATGAAATCGTGGACCCAAAGAGTTTTGCAGAAGAGCAATTTATTAAGGGGGGAGGGAGGGAGGATAGCTCCCACTTGGTTGTGGGAGGGGAACCCAGAGAGGGAAATCTGTTCAGGTAGGAGGAGCCGAAGTTTTAACCCTTGAGTTATTCCCTCCCCATTCATGTTCTCATCCAGTGAGAGGAGTTCTTTCAAACTTCCACTGGAATGATTGATCTTTGACTCTGATACCGGATTGGCTACTTGTTCTATGACCCTGAGTTACAGAGCCCTCTCCTCCCAGAGCTTTCTGGGGGAATTTGAGACAAAGGAGCCTCACTTGGCTTTCCTGCTTGCAGGAAGATTAGATAAAGAATTTTACCTGGCCCACATGGAGGAAGTGCTCAAGGAGCCTCAGCCTCCTGAGGCAGGGAGCCGGGAAATTCCTCCCCATCTGAGCCGGGGAACCAGGAAACCCCTCCTTTAGCATGGCCTCGGGAATAGAAGTTTATTTAACACAGTCCCTCAGTAACAGTGATACTTCAGGTACCTTAAAAAATTTAGCTGGTTTTGATGAGAAACAGTCCGTGGGGTTGCCAGGGGTCCTGGCAGATGCTTAGGCAGTGGCTGTCCTGGAGTCCAAGGCATGCCCCAAACCCATTGATGCAGGACCCAGGACTCCATCTGCTCATTTTTCATAAGGTTGGCTCACAGGTTATCTGTTGAGAAGGTTATCTGCTCCTTCTTCACTGTGCTCACTGAATGAGGACATTCCAAGATCCCCGCTCATCCTATTTGAACTATCCTTTTCCTAATCTCATCCATCTATGTTTGAGACAATCTTCCCACATGATAGATATTCTATCTTCTCATTTCTTCCATGTTGCATTACTATTTTATTCATAATAAATGCACATATTTTTGGTGTGTGAAAAAAAGAAAATATGGATTATTTAATGAAATTAAGAATGTGCATTCCCTTATGGCCGAATAATCTCCCCTTTCTCCTTCTTTTCCCTAACTCTGGTAATTACTATTCTATTCTCTACTTCTATGAGCTCAACTTTTTAAGCTTCCACATATGAGTGATAATATGTGGTATTTACCTTTCTGTTCCCTGGCTTATTTCACTTAGCATAATGTCCTTCAAGCTCCTGAATGTTGCTTAGCGTAATATCCCTCAAGCTCATCGGTGTTCACTTAGCATAACATCTTTCAAGCTCACCAAATAGAATTTTGTTCTTTTTCATGACTAAACAGTATTCAACTGCATATATATATATATATATATATATATATATATATATATATCTCACATTTCTTTGATGGAATACTTTTTGTTACAGATTTAATCTTATTACTTTTAGTTGTTCTGTTCAGTTTTATATTTCTTCCTTGCCCAGTCTTAGTAGGTTGTATGTGTCCAGGAATTTATCCATTTTTGCTAAGTATTCTAATTTGTTAGTGTGTAGTTATTCATTATAGTCACCAATGATCCTTTGTATTTCTATGATATCAGTTGTAATGTTTCCTTTTTCATTTTTTATTTTATTTATTTGACTCTTTTCTCTTTTTTCTTCTGTTAGTCAGCTAATGTTTGACGGATTTTGTTTATCTTCTCAAAACACTAATGTTTTGTTTAGTTGAGCTTTTGTATTTTTTTAGTCTCAATCTCATTTCTTTCTGCTCTGACATTATTTCTTTCCTTTTGCTAAGTTTGGATTTGGTTTGTTCTTACTTTTCTAGTCCTTAAGATGCATCATTAGTTTGCTTATTTAAAATCTTTCTATTTTTGAAATGTAGGTATTTGTTGCTATAAAATTTCTCTTAATACTGTATTTCTGTATCCCATAGATTTGGATATGTTGTGTTTCTATTTTAATTTCAATAAATTTTTAAATTTCTCCCTTGACTCATTGGTCATTCAGGTGCATGCTGTTGAGTTTCCATGTATTTTTACAATTTCAAAAATTTGTCTAGTTAACGATTTCTATGTTTAATTCATTGTGGTCAGACAAAAATACTTGATATGATTTCAATTTTTAAAAATTTGTTGAGACTTCTTTTGTAGCCTGACATGTGGTCTCTCTTAGAGAATGCTCCAGGTGCTGATGAAAATAATGTGCATTCTATAGCTTTTGGATAAAATATTCTGTAAATCTCTGTTAGGTTTATTTGATCTAAACTGCAGTTTAAATTCAATGTTTCTTTATTAATTTTATGTCTATAGAAAACTGTCTAAAGCTGCAAATGGGGTGTTGAAGTCTCCAACTATTATTGTTTTGGGCTGTCTCTCCTTAGATCTAATAATATTTGCTTTATGTATCTTGTGCACTGATTTTAGGATAAATATATACTTTCTGTTGCTATATCCTCTTATTGAATTGATCATTTTATCATTATACAATGATTGTCTTTGTTTTTACAATTTTTCACTTAAAGTCTGTTTTATCTGATATAAGTATAGCTACTTCTGTTCATTTTTGGGTTTTGTTTGCATAGAATATCTGTTTCTATCCTTCCACATTCTATTTTGTGTCTTTACAGATGAAGTGAGTTTCTTGTAAGCAGTATATAGCTGGGTTATATATTTTATCCATTCAGATATTCTATGTATATTTTAGTGGATGCTTTAATCCATTTGTTAATACTAATACATTCAAGATTACTTGATAGTTGAGGACTTATTCCTGTCATTTTGTTAGTTGTTTGCTGGTTATTTGTAATCCTTTGCTCCTTTTTTAGTTTCATTGTTTATTGCTGTAGGTCAGTCTTTTTCTGTAGTGATAAGATTTGCTTCTTTTCTCCTTATCCTTTGTGTATTTGATCTGTCAGAGTTTTACACATTTGCATGTTTTCATCATAATGATTATTATCTTTTCACTTCCAGATATAGGATTCTCTAGAGCATTTCTTTTAAGGTTGGTTTATTGTTGATGAACTCCCTCAGTTTTTCATGTCTAGGAAAGACTCATTCTCCTTCAATTCTCAAGGATAGCTTTGCTGGGTATAGTTTCATTAGCTGACAATTTACTTCTTTCAGTACTTTGAATGTGTTCTGTAATTCTCTCCTAGTCTGTAGGTTTGTTGTTGTTGTTGTTGTTGTTGTTGTTGTTGTTGTTGTTGTTTTGCAGAGAAATCTGCTCTTTGTCTAATGGAGATTCTCTTCTATGTGAATTGATGCTTTTCTTTGCTATTTTTAGAATTCTCTATTTGTCTTTGATTTTTGATTATACAGTGTCTCAAAGAGGACTTTTTGGATTGCTCTTATTTGGGAACCTTTGATTTTTCTTATGTTTGAATATTCATAAATCTTTCCAGACTTTAGGAAGCTTTCAGATATTATTTTATTTAATAGTTTTCTACGCCTTTTTCATTTCCTTCTTCTCCTGGACCACAAATGTTATGAAAATTTGTTCATCTAGTGGTGTTCCACATGGCTTGGTGGCATTCATCACTCTTTTTCATTCTTTTATTTCTTCTCTGACTGGTAAATTTTAAATGACCTATCTTCAAGTTCAGAGATTATTCTGCTTGATCAAGTCTGCTACTTAAGCTATTTTATTTATTTTATTTTATTCATTCAATTCTTTAGCCACAGAATTTCTGTTTGGTTCTTCTTTTTTTTAATAATGTATATCTATTTGTTGAATTTCTTGTTCATAATTTATATCTCTTTGTTGAATTTTTTGTTCATGTCATGAATTGTTTTATTTCATTAAATTGCCTGTTTTTCACCTACCTCTCATTTATCTTCCTTAAGATCATGCTTCGAATTCCTTTTCTGTCAATCTGTTGATTTCCTTCTACTGAGGTCTGGTACATAACTATTATCTTCCTTAGGTGGTGTCACATTTCCTCATTTTTATGTTTCTTGTGTTTCTATGTTGATGTCTGTGCATCTGGTAGAATAATCAGCATTTCTAAACTTTATAGTCTTTCATAGAGAAACAATTCTATTTGCAGCTGTGTTGTAGTGTGCTGGTTGGGGAGGGTGTGATAACTTTGTTTCCAGATAAATACAGTGATAGTCTTTGTGCAATTTCTTCAGCTATGTTCAATGTCAGCCATAACTGTGGACATTCAATGACCTAAGTTGTAAAAGTCTGTGTCAGTAGCAGCAGCAGCAGTAGCAGCAGCAGCATAGGTTGTTAATGTCCTTGGTGTCAAGGGCTTTTGGAGTTCTCTTATTCTCTTTTTCCCCACTATAGAGAGACTTAGCCAAGGGAATCCCTGTTAGTGTCAGGTCTGACATGGTCTACAAATAGCTGCAATAGTACTGGGATCTAGATGCAGTTGCTTGCAGTTGCTGCTGGGACGGGGTCCTAGGCTCAGGGTCTCATGAACCCACTGTGGCACCTGGATCTTGAGGTGCAGGCTTACTCTCTGTGGCAGATTTGGATGTAGGTCGCCCACTGAGCCAGGATCTGTGATTTAGAGGACTGTTCCTTTGTCTGCCCCATCCCCTTCCACCCAGCAGCTTGAGCCTAGAGGGCTGGTTTATAAATGCCATTTGACCTTTAGAGGGCAGGGCACAACACTGGCCTGACTATGGGAAGGAAGGCGTCCTCTGGAGGTTTGGACCTGGGTATCAGGGTATGACTGATTTGAGAATCTGAGCCAAAAGAACTTAATGGCAACTTGGGTCCTAAGGGATGTAGCACCATGTAGTAGTGACTTTAGACCCTGGGATATTGGGGTTTGGCCACATCCCAGACTCTGTGAGGCCAGATGCTGTAGCAGCAAGTACCCTAGAATGGTGTAGTACAGCTATTGTTCAGGTCCAGGGGGCAGGGAACAGCACAGAGGTGACTCCACTTCCCAGAGAGAGGGATGTCTCAGCAGCTCAGACTCTAGAAGGTTGGTCCAGTTCCAGGGAATCTGAATACTAGAGTTGTTTGACCTATAGGGCAGGTATCTCACCTCAGCCACTGCTCTGTTCTCCTGTTATGTGGGAGTACTACATCAGCTCAGTCCTGGAATGCACAAATGCTCAGCTCAGCCAGGAAACTGATTCCCCAAGGGGCAGTGTACTTCTTCAGCTTAAGTCTGGACAGCCCAGGCACCAATTCCTGGGATACATGGCACTACTTCAACCTAGGCATCAGGAAGGGATGACTGCTTTAAGTGACCAAGGTATTGGTTTCTCAGGAGGCAGGGTGCCACTTCAGCTCCAGACTGAAGGGGCAGGCAGAGAGGTAGGTGGAGTGGCTGTATGTTTGCTTGGCCCTATGAAGAATGATGTAACAACTGCTTGCAGCTCAGCTGGAGAATGTTAGCCACCAGGCTGGGTGGGTTGGTGGTGGCTTAGCCTGGGGGTGAAGGAGAGCCATGACTAATCACCTGCAGAGCAAGACACATTCCAGCCATAGTTCCAGGTCCAAGATGGAGTAGCACAGTAACCACATGGGGCATAAGAGAAGGGGGGCAGTATCAGCTCCTTCTCTAGGGGAAACATAGATATGTGGCCTCCACACAACCCCCTCAGCTGGGCTTAGTGCTTGTGAGGAATGCAGGGGACTTGGTGATGAGGTCTGTAGGTGTCCAAGATATTCACTGAGGCTTCTGGGATCCTCTTACTTATGTCTTTGCTGTAGGGAAAAGTTCCCCTGGTTTCCAGCTGATCTTGGTTGAGAGACAGGGTGGTGAAGGCCCAGCAGTTCCTTAGTTTGGCAGGACATAACATTCTTGATTCAAATTTCTTTTCTGCAAGAATGCTTAATATAGTCCCCTAATCTCTTCAGGTTTATAGGGTTTCTACTGAAAGGTCTGCCATTAGCCTGACAGGGTTCCCATTGTAGGTAACCTGCCCCTTCTGTAGCTGCCTTTAACATTTTTTCTTTCATTTCAATCTTGGAGAATCAATGACTATGTGTCTTGAAGATGGTTATCTTATATAGTAGCTTGCAGGGGTTCTCCGCATTTCCTGA